AAGAGAGAGCATTTACTGCGTCTTGTCGTACATCAGATAAATGGTTATTGGATAGTGGGGCGAGCAGCCACATGTGTCTCGACAAAGATGAGTTTTCGAAACTATCATCACTGAAGGACCCAATCATGATCACCATCGTAGACGGAAACGAAGTGGAGGCACAAGGGGTTGGAACATTGCGTGTGCAACTCAATACTGGTGAAGTGATCATGATCGAAGAGATACTATGAGTGTCAGGCTTGGACCGAATGCTATCGCGTATATCGGCACAATCAAGAAAAGGACTTCAAGTGATCTTCTCAGACCTGAGCTGTCAGATTGGAAGAAACGCGGAAGTGATTGCTCAAGTCCCAAGTCGGAACAAGATTTACTTCATAGATTGCAGTCTGGCCGAGTCAGCCAACACATGCAAAGAGACCAATCGAGAGTAAAGACCAAGTAAAGGATCAGGAGCGGCTAATCTACAGGTGTTACATGCAAGGAAAGGGCACCTGCCAGCAAAGATGTGTACGGATATGGCAATTTACGTCGATGGTTTGAAGATCAGGAAGAATCGAGGTGGTGAAGGTGACGACAAGATCTGCGAAGGGTGCATCATGGGCAGAGCGACCGTCAAGACAATTCCAAAACCACCTTACGGACAGGTGAAGACTAAGGACGTGTTGAATTTGGTTCAATGTGATGTCATGGGATTTATGAGACGAAGTCTCGAGGATTATCAAGATTTGTCGTGACTTTTTTTATGATTTTTCGAGTTACATAGTCGCATACTATATCAAAAACAAGCCAGAAGTGGCAGATTGCTTCATCGAATACTAGGCGCTCATGGAGAATTAGCTGTCAAAGAAGATCAAGCATATCAAGGCAGAAAATGACTCAGAATACGTCAACAGACGTTTCTTTAAAATGTGCGGCAAATTCGGTATAGTACACCAGACGACAGAACCATATTCGCCACAACAGAATGGGCTGGCCGAACGCATGATTCGGACACTGACTGAGCAACCCAGATGAATGCTCAGTCATATGCAATATGACAAGATTTGGTGGGCTTAGGCGATAAACACAGCAGTCTATGTGAAAAACTGATTTCCATGTGCTAGTCACCCTCTACAACTCCATTTGAATTGATATTCGTCACGAAACCCGACCTCTTTGAAATTTGCGTATTTGGTTAAATGAGATATGCACATGTCGACAAGTCAAAGAGGACCAATATGACTAAGAATGCGATTCGATGTATTTTTTGGCTACTCGGATCACATCAAGGGGTTTCGAATATGGGATGAAGATATCAAGAAGGTGACATTCACGAGATCGGCTGAATCTGATGAGCGACCACCACTTCAGTACGTGAAACAGTACGGAAGATCAAGTGACCTAGGAATTTGCGCTATTCCTGATGACGACGTTATTTCTATCGACTTAGAGCAGCCAATAGTCACGGTAGAAATGATAATGGAAATTAAGGACAGTCCCAGTGTTCAAGAAGAATGTCACATGCAAGACAGGCTTACGACAACGATGACTCTACCATCGCGACGCAGCAACGAGACGCATGGACACGTGAGATCTAATGCTGACGACCCAATGTTTGAAAATGATGATGTGACGATGATTGAAGAAGATCAAGATTATTCAAAGAAGTCTCAAGACAAGGGCAGATGGTGATGCGACCAAGTCGATGGACAAGTGTTCAAACATCGCAAGAAACCGCCATGGTTCCATTAGAATCGGTGCAACAAGGTCAATCTCAAGTGTTAGTACCAAAGGGTGGTGCAGATGATGTTTTTTATGACGGCTCAGAAGTGTGTCAAGAAAGAGGCACAAAGAGACTGCGTATTGGGCATGAGAAAGCATGTGCAGCGTTCGAGACCCCAGCGGCATACGAAGAAGCTCTTAAGTCACCTCATCGTAATGATTGGTATAAGGCCATTAAATCTGAGCTCAAGGCATTGCAGGAAAAAGACACGTGGACAGATCAAACACAGCGTCCATGCCGGAAAGTGATTGGAACCAAGTAGGTATTCGCACTCAAATGATACGAGATCGGGGAAATTATTCGATACAAGGTACGTCTTGTAGCACTTGGCTGCACGCAGACATATGGAATTGATTACATAGAGACATATTTACCGATGGCAAACTTCAGGTCAATACGAGTGTTTTCAGCGGTATGCTGCCAAAAGGGGATGTTGGTTCATCAATATGATGTCGACACTGCTTTTCTATATAGAGTATTGGAAGAAGAGGTATATGTATACCCTCCTCTGGGTGTTCGTGCAGGACGTGATCAAGTGCTTTGGTTGACTCGCAGCCTGTATGGACTAAAACAAGCGGCCACAAAATGGTACAAGACAATTTCGTGTGTATTTGTGAAGCTGGGTTTCTCCTCATGCGCGGAAGACTCATGCATCTTCGTCAAAGAAGCCAAGAGCTCGTGGATTTACGCTGCATTATATGTGGACGACCCTTAAATTGGGGCTGAATCTACTGGAGCAATGGACGATGTGGTAGATCAACTATCACGTCGTTTTCAATTAAAGGTGTTGGAAGGAATACGATACGTTGTTGGAATCGAAGTCAAGTACCTGCGTGATAATCGACGTATGATGTTCAGTCAAAGATCGTGAATATCAAGAATGGTCGAGAAATTAAATCAAGTTGATGCAAAACCGGAGTCAAATTTAAGTGTTGAAGGAATTGACCGTATCGGTCGTTGGTGTGGTCACTGTTGTATGTGGCAAAGGGCACACGACCAGATATTGCGTATTTTATATGTCAGCTGAGTCGTCATTTAAAATGTCTGCATGAAGAGCACTGGAATGCAGCGATTCGAGGATTGCGGTACCTGAAGACGAAGCAGAGCAAAGAAATTTGCTATGAAGGAGTTTCAGGCGACCTTCAGCCTAGCGCGTACACGAATGCGGACTGGGCAAGTAACAAGTGCAATCGCAGATCGATTTCGGGAGTTTTTGTCATGATTAATGGCGCACCTGTGATTTATAGTCCAAGATGCAGCAGAGCGTGGCACTGAGCACGGCAGAAGCAGGGTATATAGCTCTCTATCTGTGTTTACAGGAGGTGCTGTGGAAAAACAGTCTACTCAAGTAGATACAAGTGCCGATTAATTACGCTATCACGGTTCATGACGACAACCAGAGTGCAATCTCTATCGCTAAGAACGACGGCTATCAAAGTCAAGCGAAACATAGCGACATCAGGTACCATTTTGTGCGCGGACAAGTGCAGGGAAAGATTATCGAGCTACTGTATACTGAAAACAAGTCACAATTGGCAGATTTCCTGACCAAACCAATTTCGACTAAGAAGTTCATGTTACTGGTGGACAAAGCCAAGATCAGAGACTTCTAGTCGAGGGAAAGTATTGGTAATATTGTTGTATGTGGTGCTATTGACCAAATGGCAAGGACGAATTTGAAGCATTGTATGTAACAATGAGATCGACTCATCGTTTTGTTGCTGACACATAGAGTCGGTATCGATAGGCTTAGAGTAGTACAACGAAACGAACTAAGGACCTAGCCAGACGATAATTCACTTTCAACTTTTTTTCCAAGTGTTTATACCCTAAATAGCCCTTGGATGCTGCCAAAATTCAAAATCGTTAGCTCATCTTCGATACGACGGGCCTTGATGGAACCGTCCACTTCGACGAACCATCTCAACCGGTAATCTTCCCCTACTTTCCGGTACTTGAAGACCTCGAACTAAAAAGTCTACCGTCGACGCTCACGCGTCGACTCTGCGGACTGAGACTGTTGCTGTCTCAGCATTTTATTTCGCTGATGGTCTTGTTGTCGCAACAAGGTCACTTCCGCTTGCGACTCATCAAGCTCTCGTTGCAAGAGCTTGCTGATGACGGAATGCTGCCGGACCCTGTCCCTTGAGGACAACATGGCCCAGACAGCTTCTTCGCAATCGGTCGAATGAGTTCGACCGATTGCACATCACTTGACACTGCTCATATAGAAGTAGCTTTCACGGGTTACGTGAAAGCTGTAGCCTTCTACATCGTCCAACATGTCCATGTTGGGCGATGCGCTAGTGGTCCTTGGACGGACTACAAAGTGCTAATATGTCAAACGGGGCACTGCTTACTTCGTACTGGAACGCCAGTACAGATTTAACTTTTTACTGACAACAGTGAAGGTCAGTGCCCTGCTAGGTGTAAGCAATACACAGAGGAAGGGTAAACAACTAAGACAAGACTCTAGCTGTAGGAAAAGTAAAACTGTTATTCAATACAATTTAGTCCGATTACTCTTGTTCTCTGTTTTGACCTGACTCAACTATTCTATTATAACTAAACGTATGATTTGTGACGTCTACTCACCACCCATTGCACGCGTCTAGCAGTAGTTGGTGGATTGGTATATTGGTATATCAATCAATGAGTAGACCTTTGGGTCATCTCAACAATATCCTTATATTTAGTTAAATTGTTAAAAGAATATTCAGCGTAATATTCTTTATTACCATTTCGCACAATGTTAATTTGATGTAACGGGCCACCCCGTCACCCCGTTACTATGCCACTTCGTTGATCGTCCCCATGTGGAACAGGTTGCGTCAGTCCAGATAGCTTAGCGGCGGAAGAAGCAATCGATCGAGTCGAAACGAGTGCGGACACAACAGCGAACGCGGCGATGATGATACGCATGGCGGTCACGAAAACGTGTATGACTTGCCAGCTCGAAGACAATTTTGAACTGAAATATTGCGCCAGGAGCTTCTGTCAACCGGATTTTCGGGTAATTTAGTAGCTGAATCGTATCATTTTTCACTTGTTGACACGCCCCCCCCCGCCAATCGGTGTGGTCTTCGAGCACAGACTCTTCGAGTACAGAAATCCACACCAATTGGCGGAAAAATGACCACAGACCGAGTGCGGCCAAGCCGAAATATCAAGTTAGAACCTCGCTGGTGTCCGTGGGTTTTGAAGACTCCCTCTTCCAATATTCATTGATTGGCCGGCCATGCGACAGAAGAAGCGGTCGAGGTCCTCTAAGCCGCAGCCTCTGTCAGCCCCTCCCACCGCAAGCTCATCGACCAACTGGGAGAAGGCTCAAAACGACAGTCGCGCAGTGCTACGTAAAAAAAAGCAGCAGCTGAAATGTGGGGACGGAGCGACGCTCACGAGCTCGAAGAAAATTCGAAGCACGCGCAATGACGCGCGGATCAAAGCGCGACTCCAGCGCCACTTGAGTGACCTTCGCACCACTCGTAGCCACGAGACGCTTTGTTCCAGTACGGAGGACTCGATGGATACAGAGCTTAAGCGGTTTGCGGAACGAGTGGCGCTATCTCCGCATGAAAAGGAGCTGCGCGCCAACGTGTTTGAAGACGTGCGCGACCTCATTTTGACGACGTACAAGGACGCGACAGTGCATCTCTACGGGTCCTCGAGCACGGGACTCGACACGTTCCGTAGTGATCTGGATATCACAGTGGGCAACATCACGCCGTCTCCGTCGCAGGCTCTGCCCTCGGTGGTTCTGGTTGATGAAATTGGCGACGTGCAGGAGGATGGCAAGGAGGTTGACGAAGACACAAACGTGAGTGATTTGGTACGGGTCAGAGAAGAGGAGGCCTCGTTTTCGCTGAACTTGGCGCTGCCGATTGGCACTACCTCGGTCGACAGCGCAGGTATCGCTCGTCGTGTGCAGCCCACTGCGGCTTCACACTGGAACCGAACGCTTCGCCGACGCAAGATCCGTGTCCTGCGAGCACTGCACTTATTACTGAACTCGCAGAGACCTCACTTTCGAGTCAAGTGTCTGTACAGCGCCAAGATTCCCATCCTTATGGTGCTGGACACGAAATCCAAGTTGGCGATCGACATCGGCGTCAACAATGAATTGTTTGGAGTCAGCGAGCACGGACGCTCGACATTTCTAGCACAGAGACTGCGGACAACGCTGGGTGCACCGTTTACCATCATGGTCATGTTCCTGAAGGAGTTTTTGCACCAGTTTGAGCTTGACAAGCCATTTACAGGCGGGATCGGCAGCTTTCGGCTGTACGTCATGGTAGCATATATCTTTCAGCGGTGTAGTCCAGCGCACAGAAACGCTTTGCGGCCACCGGTGTCGTCTCTGTTGCTGGCGTTTTTTGAGCTATATGGCAACAAGAAGCTGCCGATGTTCCTACGCAAAACTACGCAGTTGCCGCTCGAAGATGGCGGGCATATGAATTTCGGTGGTGTTTTTCGCATCGATGACTGTGTCGAGACGTTTGCCATGGCATTCGACATTTTGAGCTCTACGAAATCCCTGGGGTCCATCATATATGAAGAGCGTATTGAGAAGGATCGCAAAACGTGCCCGAACACGACGGACCAATGCTCAGTGGCTGGCGTGTAGCTCCACGGGCATCGAGCCCATACTTGTAAATTGAAAGCTAGACCTTGAACTGCTTGAACGTACAAGGGACCCCGATCCAGTCGCTAAACGCTGCGAAAAAGTGCTGTCGCCGGTCGCTAGAGGAGATAAAAGCTGTCGTTGTCACACGCGTAGAGGATGCAGCATCGTCAATAGGAACCGCGCGCTTGAGCTGAAGATACTCGAGATCATAAACGGTGGCTAGAGGCAAACTCCTGCGCAGCACGAGATGAAACGCCCGAAGCAAGTTTCTCTTTGACAGACGTGAGGCCACCTTCTCCATCGCAACCTGATCCATTGTAGACGCCTTCTGAGCACCCTGCTTGAACCCAGTGGTAGCCGTAAGAAACTCGAGCTCGAAGCTGTTGAAGAACGTCCCTGCGACATCCATTTTGTCCATCGATTCGAGCGCTAGCATTTGCCTATCGCCTCGTGTGCAAGAGGATTCCTTAACGGTCCAATTGAGCGCTACACTGGACGGTGCGCGGTTCGATGTTCGGCGGCGACTGAACTGGGGAGTGCCCGAGATAACACACACTTTACAAACAGACCGACGCGCCCCCGCAATCACCGCACCGCGTTGTTTCAGTCGTAAGCACACAGCTCGTTTCAGCGCTTGCTCTTGCACGGCTACCGACTTTGCTCTGTCGTCTTCGCTTACAACGATAGAACTCAAGAAGATCGGCTCGAACCATTGCAGCAAGAGAGAACCCTGCAGTCCTAGCGCGTTCCATTTGGCCAGTTTGTCAGAGCAGCTCATCGATAGTGTCTGCTTGTCGAGAGGTAAGTCCGATCGACCCGACTTTACCCGTGCGACACCGACTGCCTGGGCAAACCGTTCATCGGGTAGCGGGGTATCTCGGCTTTTACCAGCAATACCATCTCTGAGTCTCTTGGCTCCAGTGAGTCGCAATTCACTGCGTGGCTTGAGCTGGCGTCCGACTCCGCCGCTCTTGCAGCTGCTTCTCGCTGCTCGTTGCTGCACCAGCTGATCCACAACGTCCTCACGCAACTCGTAAATAGCTGCGTCTCCACAAGGTGCTTCGCTGATAAAGAGGTGCAGCGTGTGCTGTGGTCTGAGCACCAGTCGACCCGACGTCGGGCTGCGCTGAAAGATCGACCGTTCAGTGGCTTCCAGTCTATTTTCCTGCCAACGAAGCGCCTCAACGTATAGGTGGCGGAGGAACGCGCGTCTTGCGAGCACCTCGGCATGGCAGTCGTTGACTACAAAGCCGTCAGCGTTCAGGTCGCGCCTTCCAAGACATTTGTTACCTGTGGCCGCTGCCAACACGCGTAAGCTATCAACGGACGCTGCGTTTTCTGGAACGTGCGGGGGAAGAGCGCGTGTGTGCAATACAATACCAGCTAGCACAGTCCACTCGGCGGGAGGGATCTTCTTCTGGCACTGCAGAGAGGTCTCGAACCACCGCAGCACGACCTGCGCCACGTCGGCCGGCGACGGCATCTTTCGAGTGACATGTCATTCAATTGAGTTACTCCGCCCCAGCCGCCCAATCGCGTCTTCCCTTCCAGCAGCACGATGTGCCGTCTTTGCTCTCGCTCTTACGGCGTTGCCTTAGACATATCGATGCTGTCATTTTGCTCTCTTGTGTGAAGAAATAGAAGCGGCACCATGCCTAGCAGACAACCAATGGTCACGCCTACAGAGCTGCCCACGACCTTGGCCATCCGCGTGCGCTTTAGCATCGTCTGGAGGTCGCACATGCAAGAAAAGCACAGCAAAGAGAGAGTGAGTAAGACAGAGGGAAAGAGTAGCAAAGAGGCCAAGGTCATATTCTTGGCCCTCAAATAGCTAGTGCAGTCACACCGCCACTTTACCTGTTCCGTCGTCAGTGCTGCAACAGGAAGACCGAGGCGCGCACAAAGGTCTTCAACGACATTGCCAAGCCCCAAGCCTGCAATGTCTGAAATGGTGTTGCCAATGCCTGCGGCTGCCATGGACGAGATGCCGAATGACACGCCCAGCGTGAGGTCAATGTAGTCGCCAGCGAGGATCATGATAAAGTTGTCGACAAAGCCAAAGCCAATGAACGGCAAACCCACTTGCAGCGCCACCATCTTGAGCTCCTGTATGGTTGGCTGTGGTACGCCAGTCCTGATTGCAGCAGCGTCTGCAGCTCCCGTCGTGGGCTGCTGCACTGTGGTCATGGCCCTGGACAAGTTCCGCATCGTGGACGGCGAAAGCAGACCACCCAGCCGCTGTGCAGTCTCAGGGTTCGTCTTCAACGCTGTCCCCAGTTGCCGCAGCAGTGCTACATCCTCAGCACTGGTGGAATGGAACGCAGCAGCGACGCGGATCGCCGCGCGATGGCGGAGACGCGGAATCATCTGGCGGATGGGGTCGTCGGTTTTGGGACCCTTGCGATTCGGTATATACCGGTAGGGAATACCGGGACCGGTCCTCCTCCCTCGAAAAGGTGGACTTGGTCGTGTCCGCCGTGAGCCATTCGGTAATCCGTCCGGTCGCGATGTTGAGCCTGATTGACCAGTCGAAGCGCACGGTGAGACGAGCCTTTTGCACTCGTGCTGGGCCCAAGCAGTCGTAGGAAAACGCCCGCCCTCCGCTAACGTGCCGCCTGCTGCCTGTCGTCTGCTACTGCAGGCTGCTCGCCAAGCCGTGGACGAGTACGTCCAGAGCGGGTTCGTCGTGGGCGTCGGCAGCGGCTCAACGGTCGTCTACGCTGTCGAGCGCCTTGGCGAGCTCGTGAACGAGACGAAGCTCACGAACATCAAGTGCATTCCCACGTCCTTCCAGGCCAAACAGGTCTGTATGTAGCTGCTGAGAGGATCTGGTGGTCTATCATTGGTCTCTCTCTCTCTCTGCTGTCATGCTGACCGATTGTCGCTCTCTCTCTTCTCGCTTCTGTCTTGACCACAGCTGATTACCGAGCACCGGCTCACGCTCACGAGTTTGGACGAGAGCCCCGTGATTGACGTGACTATCGACGGCGCGGATGAAGTGGACCTGCAGCTGAATTGTATCAAGGGTGGCGGTGGCTGTCAGCTGCAGGAGAAGGTTGTGGCGTTTGCAGCCAAAAAGTTTGTGATCGTTGCTGACTACCGCAAGGAATCGAAGAAGCTCGGCGAACGGTGGACCCAGGGCGTGCCCGTTGAGGTTGTTCCCATGGCATACGTGCCACTCATGCATTATCTCGAGCAGGACTTCGGTGGCAAGTCCGTGCTGCGTATGGGTAAAAGCAAGGCTGGTCCAGTGGTCACCGACAACGGCAACTTTGTGCTGGACGTCAAGTTTGGCGAAATCAGCGACCCAAAGACACTCTGCAATAGTCTCAAACTTCTCCCTGGGGTGGTAGAGGTCGGCCTATTCTGCGGCATGGCTGAAAAGGCCTTCTTCGGACAGACAAATGGCTCAGTTACGACTCGAGTTGCCCACAAGTCTGCTCAGTAACAATAACACCTCTCTGATTTTTCATGTGGCAGACGAGGGCTTCCCCCATCTCTCAGCTTGCCGGCGTCAACAACCGTAGGTTAGGACTTGCGGTATTGCAATCGCTGTTTGCATGAGAGTGAGCGAACCATCATATCGTGTCCAGCTGTCGTTTGGTTTCGTCTGCGCTACCTGATCGCAGCGCAAAAAGAGACAGCGACAGACTCGGATCGAAATCTCAATCTGCAGCACAAAATGAACGAGGTAAAAAGCCTTCGAGCGCTTGGTGTACAAGACGTCTGGGCTGACATTTACTAAAAGCTAACACGGAAGCAGTCACTCAATGCTTTCGCTTTGTTGGAAATAATGCTCGAGTCGAACTTGTCGAAGAACGTCATACTGACCATCGGCATCCACCGCGGTCCGCACTTGACGTGTGTCCAAAGTGCCGTCCGGGAAGCGGTGTGCATAAAAGCAGCTAGTGCCGAACGGACATGTTCCTCTGAGTTGGATCAGCACGGATACAACACAGGGTTACCACAGGTGATGCAAGCATAATCAAGGAACGGCAACAGCGCTTCACATACCTTCCTTCGTCGAAGTGACGACACGGAATAGCCGATAGATTCTCCTGCTCACGTACAACAAAAGGTCGTCAGAGTTTGCAAGTTTCGACATCCTTTCAAGCAAACCCACGCACTCGGTACACGTCGATGAGAACTTTCTTGCGCTCCGGCTTCGTAACCATCCTGCTAGACGGGATAATGAAGGTCGTCTCCACACGACATACTGGGCACTGGCGAACCGTTTGCTTCGGTTGATCGGCATTACCCCTCCAATTTCGCAAGCACGTGAGACAAAACACGTGGTTGCATCCAGATAGCAAGCCAAACCGCTCGTCCTTGTCAACTACACACTCGTAGCAAATGCCGCACTCCAAATCTTGCGAGAAACGAATTTCCTCGTCCCTCGCTAGCATCTCCTCCTCGCTCTGAGCACACTCAAGCAGAGAATGTGCGTAAAAGCACGTATTGCCATACCGGCACGATCCTTGCAAAAAAAATGTACAGATTTTGCTGTGACAGCAACAACAAGTCGATCAGTCGCTGACAGCCAACAGGACGATCCACACGTTGTTTTGCGAACAAACGTACGGGGATGCAGGCACTTCCTCGTCAAACGAAAGCGGTCTGTCCTTCACGTTCTTCTTGACGACTCCCACGTACGATTCTTTCAGCATCGGCAGCACGGACTCAACTGCCGCGTCTATAAACTCCCCAGGTGCTCCATAATAATACAGTTCTACAGTCACTCGCACAGCATGCATTATCGCAGCTGGACATCAGACGAACGTCATCACGAAACCACAAGCAAGAGCCGCGGCACCAACCTTCCTCCTTGGAGATAAAGTCCGTCATATCTTCCATCATCGCTGTCTCCTGCTTGTTCCCATAGGACGCCTCCGGCGCCACAATCGATGCTTCTTTCTCCTCTTCCATCGAATTATCAGCTCCAGCATGTTCCTTTGCTTCGACTGAAGCCTCTTCTTCCTGCCAGTTCTCCTTCGTCTTCGTCTTGACCACGTGCAGGTACGGGCATCTGTCGCCGTTGGAGCAGTCGCCGTATGTAAAGAACTTGCATGGAACCCCGTAGGCTCCTGGCGCTATCTTCTTTTCGCCCGTGCTAGCGCTCACGACCGTAGCTGCCACCTGCGCCTTAGCCGAGTGGAGGAACTTGCACGTCCGTCCTGCTTTGCACGTGCCTTGAAGAAAGAATTTGCACGGCAGCGGACTCACTGCAAGATCTTCGCGTGCTGCGTGAAAGAACTTACAACTGCTGCCGGCACGGCACTTGCCAGCCGCGAAGAACGAGCACGGCGTCATCTTTGAGGCTCTCGAGCTGCGCGAAATGCTGCCGGACGTGGTCGACATGTGGATGAGCAAGTTCGCTAGCCGGTATACAGGCTGTAGCGGGTGTATACACAAATGGCTTGCGCTCGCTGCTAAGTACGATCGCGAAGGATGTAGCCATCGGTCAATCGACCTCCGAAAAGGGTACATTTTTCTCGATTCGAGAAGAATGTGCCCTTTTTACGGTCAATGGACAGACAAGCGTGACGGGCGTGTACAAGGAGAAGGAACTAGCCGAGTCAACGACGAACATGCCTTCTTTTGATAGACTGCGATGATGCGAAGTGAAAACATCCAATGGGAGTTCAAATTGTTGTGTTGTTTTGCGTTGCATCAGGTTTACCTTTATTCCGCTAACTGCTGACAGCATTTTAGTAGGCACACGAAAAGTAGTACAAGCCCAGAACCATCGCTGCTGCTGACAAAAATGATACGATACGCAGAATTCGATGGAGAGCTCGAGATCTGACGCCGTAGATGGCTGAAGCCGAATCCTGAGCTGCGTCCGGACCTAAACCTCAGAAGATATGTGCTGCACGAAGCACGTTGATGAAGCCCACGTCTAGACGCTCAACGGGTGCATGGACTCGCTTTCCCATCGCAACATACCGAACATCGACTCGTTCGCCAACTGGTTCAGCACCTTGTCGTCCTTCTCGCCCTTGACATCATAGTGGCCCAGAAAGTGAGCCTTCCAAGGCGATGTCTCATTGTCGCCGCCCACGAACATCCATCCCTGACACTCCTCGCCACGAGTGCAGTTCTCAGCGGCCTCAGTCTGGACGGTGATGGATTTCAGCCCGATGTAGTAGTTGTCTCCATCGCGCAGGCGAAACGCCACAGAAATAAACTCTCGATCCGACAGGTCCGACGCAACGGACGCGATGCGGTGCACCACCACAATGTCGTCCGTCACCTTTTGCAAAATGCGGAACTGCTTCACGTCCGGATAAATGCGCTTGCACTTCTCCGGAGACGTGATGATGTCCCACGACGCGTTCGCCACTTCGCGAATGTTCTTGTCGCTGATCGAGCGGACGGCGCGGAAGTTCAGACATGTGCTCGCGGCCCACAACTCTGTCTTCCAGCCCATCGCGTAGCACACGTTCGTCTTCGAGTTCACGGTCGGGCCGAACGTCTTGAGCTCATTGTACGCGTGCCGCACGGCTTCGTGGCACAAGTTCAGATCCACTACCAACGTCGGACCCTTCAGAGGGTTCATCTGGTCGCTGATCCACATCGGGACGCCAGCGATCTTCTTGCGGTCCACGTCGCGGCAGTCGCTTGGCAATGCGTTCAGACCGTACTGGATCATGCGAGCAAAGTTCTCGTGCTGCAATAGCTGCTCCTTCAGCTTGTTGTTGTCCTTGCGCAGCGTCTGCACCGTCACCATCTGCTTCTCGTACGCTTCCGTCAACGCCTGCTCGCTCATGCCGGCCATCTGCGAGCACTGCTCCGTCAAGTCTCCACCAATGATCCGAATCTGCTCCTTGAGCTCGGCGATGCGGTCACGCAGGAAACTCTCCTCGTCCTTCTGTTTCTTGCGGCGACGGCGCGACGCATACCGCACCTGCTGACGACGGCGCTCCTTCTTCTTCTGAGCATCGTCTCCTTCGCCCATGCCAATGTCCTCGTCACTGCTTCCCCCATTGTTGCTCGACGTTGTCAACGTTCGGGAGCTGTCGCAATACTTGGGCGTCACCAACGTGGGGACAATCGCGTTCGGAGCGACTGGAGCCTGTGGTCGGGGCGCAACGGAAGCGGGTGCTTGAATGCTGATGCCGAGACCTCCGTGGCCAGAAGAGATGGCAGGAGCTGTGCTCATATTAGGCAGTTGATGAACGCCCGCACCGATACAGCCGTTCGCGCCGACTCCCATTTGGTTCATGTGCATCGAACCGGACAGTCCACTCTGCTGCATGGACGACGATTGACTCGTCATGGGCATCGTCGGCACCCGTCCCGAAAGGAGGTTGGACGGCTGCGACGGTGGTACCATCAGGTGCTGCTGTTGATTGTACACGTGACTAGCCATCTGGCCCAGATGCTGTGGCTGCTGAGGCTGGAGACCGACGGGGTCGTTGCCGAGCACACCCAGCAGGTCGTCGACGAAACGCGGATCGTCTTCAGGTGCCACCATGTTGGACTGCTGCATGAGACCCATTCCCGTGTGCTGCTGCTGGTGCAGTGGAGGCGGTGGATGGTACAGTCCGTTGGTCATCGGCAGCGGGTCGAACATCATGTCCTGCATCGTATAGTGCTGCGGCGTGGACGACAGTTGAGGCGCGCGCTGCTGCTGCTGCAGGGGCATTCCAGTCGGCATTCCCGTGGGCATTCCCATGCGACCGACAGGCAGACCGTACGGATTCGTGCTCTGGTCCATTCTTGCCGTCTGACGACGGATCGTCTGGTCCTCCTCGCTCGCTCGCTCGTGGCTGGCAGATTCGTATATGCTGTGCTGCTGCTGCTGCTACGGCTGTGTCTTCCCTCTCTCCCTGCTAGACGGCTGCAATGCCTCAGCGTCGGCCAATGAGAGAGTCGGAGAGCTCTCGAGCCTCTTCTCTCCCTCCTCCTGTCTTCTCGTACGAACAGGCGACGGGCCATCTGGCCAGTTTGACGGCGGTCGAGCATGCCACTGACCGGCCGGTGTTAGCTACGGCCGCACGCACGCCCGCCCGCCCGCACGCACGCACGCACGCGGGGACAGCGCATCCTATCGACCTCTACCTCTACTTGTCAAACCTTCCTGGCAACCTGACGCCACTTTTGAGTCAGCGCGGTGAGAAAGGACGTGGCCGTGGGGGCAGGGAGGAGGCGGCGACCGAAGCCACTGCATGCGCCAAGGGAGCCTTCTGGACAATAAGAGAGCGCTTGGATTCAGAGACATGTCCGTGGCCACGCAGACTGCGCCCGTCTTGTCGAAAGCGTGGGACGATCGCACCCCCCACTGGATCATCCACACTGGACTGTGAGTGCACATGGGACGGGTTCCCTCCCTCCTGTTCCTCTTCCAGCGGTTGCCACAGATATGCTGCAGTGAGTGTAACTATCAACACTCGTCACGTGGGCCTCCTCTGTGGTGCTTTCTGGGCATCTAGCTAGCCCGGTAGATACAACGTGTGTCTCCTTCTGATACTGGTGGGGCACGCATCCGCTCGTAAAGGCCGATGAGGGAGCAAGCAGGTAGAGCAAAGTCCGACTACCCAAACAGTAGACGAAAAAGAGCTCGTTATGCTACCGCCGCCTTCTGTCTCTGTCAGCGCAACGAGACAAAGTTGTGGATTATTTCGCGCATAGCACCCGCCCCTCGGACACACCACCCGCATGGAACTGCTGCTGCTCACCGGCCTCATCAACTCTTCGTCCGTCCGTGCTCAAAAGCGCTTGAGCGACTGACTGCCTCGGAGGATCCACTTGACTGTCTCAGGTGCTCGACAAATCCCTTTTAACGCACTTTGAAAAGTATTTCGCTTTTTTTCTTCTCATATATTGAACACAAAAAGCATGCATCGGTGGGTATGTATGTACCTCTTGGCCAACGAGTGGTGCACAACAGCAGTACAGCAGTCCCTAGCTGATCACCAAACAGTGGCAGTCCTCGTCGATGAGCAAGGAAAGCCAGCGTTCATGTGCAAGAGCCACCACCGCTTTACGCGCTCAGCGGATGCATGGCCTCGCTTTCCCATCGCAACATACCGAACATTGACTCGTTCGCCAACTGGTTCAGCACCTTGTCGTCCTTCTCGCCCTTGACATCATAGTAGCCCAGAAAGTGAGCCTTCCATTGAGGCGTCTCGTTCTCATCGCCCAAGAACATCCAACCCTGACACTCCTCGCCGCGGATGCAGTTCTCAGCGGCCTCAGTCTGGACGGTGATGGATTTCAGCCCGATAAAGTAGTTGTCACCGTCCCGAAATCGGAACGCCACAGAAATAAACTCTCGATCCGACAGGTCCGACGCAACGGAGACGATGCGGTGCACCACCACAATGTCGTCCGTCACCTTTTGCAAAATGCGGAACTGCTTCACGTCCGGATAAATGCGCTTGAATTTCTCCGGAGACGTGATGATGTCCCACGACGCGTTCGCCACTTCGCGAATGTTCTTGTCGCTGATCGAGCGGACGGCGCGGAAGTTCAGACATGTGCTCGCGGCCCACAACTCTGTCTTCCAGCCCATCGCGTAGCACACGTTCGTCTTCGAGTTCACGGTCGGGCCGAACGTCTTGAGCTCATTGTACGCGTGCCGCACGGCTTCGTGGCACAAGTTCAGATCCACTACCAACGTCGGACCCTTCAGAGGGTTCATCTGGTCGCTGATCCACATCGGGACGCCAGCGATCTTCTTGCGGTCCACGTCGCGGCAGTCGCTTGGCAATGCGTTCAGACCGTACTGGATCATGCGAGCAAAGTTCTCGTGCTGCAATAGCTGCTCCTTCAGCTTGTTGTTGTCCTTGCGCAGCGTCTGCACCGTCACCATCTGCTTCTCGTACGCTTCCGTCAACGCCTGCTCGCTCATGCCGGCCATCTGCGAGCACTGCTCCGTCAAGTCTCCACCAATGATCCGAATCTGCTCCTTGAGCTCGGCGATGCGGTCACGCAGGAAACTCTCCTCGTCCTTCTGTTTCTTGCGGCGACGGCGCGACGCATACCGCACCTGCTGACGACGGCGCTCCTTCTTCTTCTGGACGTCCCCTTCGCCCATGCCAATGTCCTCGTCACTGCTTCCTCCATTGTTGCTCGACGTTGTCAACGTTCGGGAGCTGTCGGAAAACTTGGGCGTCATCAACGTGGGGACAATCGCGTTCGGAGCGACTGGAGCCTGTGGCCGAGGCGCAACAGGCGTCACGTTGCTCGCCTCGAGGCCACCGATACCTCCCATCGAAGGCGCGCTAAGGTTGGGCTGCTGGTGCATCCCCACTGCGCCCATCCGCGCAGCAGCTCCAATGTCGTTGGACGGCATTTGATTCATGTGCATGGGGCTCACCATGCCTTGCTGCATCGATTGCATCTGCGTGGACATGGGCAGGCCCTGGGTACTTCCCGGCTGCAGCCCCAGCGAGCGCGGCTGCAAGTGGTCGTACACGTGACTCGCCATGTGCTGTCCCATGTTCTGCTGCTGCTGCTGTGTCATGCCGACGGAATCGCCGAGAGCGCTCATGAGGTCGTCCAGGTCGTCCTCCGGCGTGCCCATACCCTGTTGACTTGACATTAGGGTCCCCAGGACTTGCATGCCCCCCGGCGCACGCGCCCCAGGCTGGTGTGGGTGCATCATGTGTCCACCGCCGTTCACGGCTGCGGCTGGATGGTACATGCCGTTGCCCATCGGCAGCGGGTCGAACATCATATCTTGCATACTGTAGTGCTGCTGCATGGTCGGCTGTGACACACGCTGCGGCGGCGGCGGCTGCGGCTGTTGCGGCGGCGGCATTTGCTGGGGCATGCCGCTGCCGGGGAGGCCCTCGCGGCCCGTGAGCATGCCGTACGGGGCATTGCGCTGGTCCATACGCTCGTCACTTGAGTGCGAAGAGGGTCTTTTCGGTTGTGGAGCAGCTGCTGGCCGCCAGAAGTGGAGAGGATGCACGTCAAATGGCGCAATTCCTTCGGGATCGCATGAGAGTCAGGCCCTTACGACCTGTCATCTCGCAGCTGGCTCTCGGCCTCCAATGCCCGACGTGGAAAGGTGACGCTCGAGAACCTCTGGGCGGCAGCAGCGAAAGAAGCAAAGACGCGCACGGCTGAAGAGGAGGGGGGAGGGAGAGAGGGGCTCATGTGCATAGCGCACTGGCAGTTGGTAATTTTCGCGCAAGGGCTCTTTGAGCAGGAAGGCAAGAGAGTGCACAAGGGCAGAGGTCGTGCGGGACGGGTGGGTGGGAGGGCGTGTAACATTACCGCGAGCACCATTTGGTTGCGCGCGATGGGGAGGAAGGCACTGCTTGCGGTTTCGGCGTGTTAACAGCGGAGGGGTATCACATGGCCACGCGCGCTGTGTGTGTGTGTGTTTACGGCGCGTTTCGAGTCGCTTGACAGCCTGCGTGCGAGCCGACTCGGACAGCTTTGGTGGACCTGTCGATGACACGTGATCGTGGTCGCCCAACGGTCTGCATCGCTTCCACAAGGCCCGCAACACCTCATGCGCGGGACACGCCCCTGCGAGCAGCAAGTGCAGTCCTACTTACTTCCCAAACGGACTATCTGCCCGGCGAATCACGTCGCGCGTCGTTCCGCTGACGTCGGAGCGACACATCGTCACGCTTAATTATTCCTGCGGGCAACGCACGCGCAACGGGCGTTTCATTTGCTGCCCTGTCAATCACGTGGGCAGCGTCCTGCAAGTAAGTGTCGTGCGTGCGAGTCGACAATAGCCATGCCACGAGATGCCACCATGGCACAGCCACGAGCTCGTCGAGCTTTCGGGGCGTCGGGGCACATCGCAATCGATAGCACACATAGTCTGGCGTGCGCTTGTCGAACCACGAGGAAATTACGAATGACGATAGCGTGGGGAAGTCAGGTGATCGTCGCTTTGATCAGAGCAAGTTCGAAGTTACAGATGAGATCTCATGAATCCAGCGAACGGTCAGACGCAGCACCCGGCTGCTCAACTGCTCGACACGAGGGGGCCTGATTCGTGTGGCAAGCGAGATCTAGAGACCAGTGGGCCTCATCAACGCTCGCGACGTAGGTCACGGCGATGTGGCGGCACGAGACCCCTCTCGGCATCGCAGAAGACATTCCGTCAATGAAGAAGTCCAGCGAGAAGGATACCGCAAGAGACGGGCTGAGTCCAGATGCAAGATGAAGCATAGCAGTGGGGAGGAAGCGCCCATCCTACTGAACTGTGAAGAAAGATGTGAAGTCTGTTTATCCATGCAGTGCAGTGGCGCTCTCTGAACAGCACGAACTTCCCGCGTCCAGCATATCCTCGACAAATGTTCCTGAGAATCGAGACGCTTTTGTGGAAGCATTCTCTCGAGGTCTTTACTGGAAACTTGGACTAAAACGACACACGCTTGAATGGCGAACAAAGCCAGTCGAATGCTGGTAGCGCTTGTGGTGTTCTGGGGCTTTGTACCGTAGCACAGGACGCGTCAGTGATAGAGCCTTGTGGCCACACGAGTGGTGATCTCCTCCTGGACGACCCCATCTATCTTAACGAATGCGGTGCAGCCCAAGCGGCAGTGTAAGGCGCAGGACACCCGACGACTGATCGCCTTTTGTTGGCCTTATTGCCATGGAAGAGTTGACACGGTGTTTCTTGACCTGTAAGATTGAGTCAGAAAATGGAAAGTTTAGAGTAAAACTAGAGGTGTTTGCAGTAAATGGCAATGAACCGCGACACTTTCGTTCTTGGGTACCGGATCATTTCGAGGGCAAGGGATCAGCCACTGCCTAGTGAGCGCGTCGCAATGACTGTGCTTCCTTTCTGTCAAACTCTATGTAGCGCATGACTGAATAGCATCTGATTGCCCGGTAGCATCGCCACATCGATGGTTCTCCCGGCAAGGCACTACGCCAATAACAGAGGAACGCCGTTTGTGATTACACAGGAGATTGATCGGATGCCATTCATCTTATCAGCAAGACAAAGCACACGTGCTTATTGCAGCTCAAGCTTCTAGGAACGTTATGATAATTTTCTTCTCTCATTGACCACCTTGAGATAGCTCGCACGTCAGCAGCGGCGCATCGTGAGTGACCTGTCTGTCATGAGTACGTTTGAGTTGGTCCGTGCGATTGCTGCGAGAAGATTGAATGACGCAGTGAGCGGCCGGTTTCGTAAACTTATACAAGATTGGGTCCTGTTTTAGACACTCTTGGCAACTCGAACGATAATTCCAACCAGACCCTATCGCAGCAGTTATGGTCGACATCAGTCGTAAGAGAGGTCTTTTCTTCTTGACCGTAAGTTTGACGTCCGAGCAAGGCAAACTATCGCACCGTAATGAGGGCTTTGCCGTATCAGGCCGTGTCAGCACGGTTCCTGCTGCTTGCACTAACTTTACAAGCGGAACTCTGATCGAGGTATTAGATACAGGCGTTAAGTGTGAGGCGATATCATAAGGACCATCGATCTCATAAGGACCATCGATCTCATAAGGACCAGAAGATCATAACAATCCGAATCGCGCTGAACAGTCAAAGTGACAAGTCCCAATGCACACTCGTATCGTAATCGTCGGAGGCGGCGCAGCTGGAATAAGCACGGCACAGGCGCTGGCCAAGAATCTGAACCAATCGGATGATACAGACGTCGTTCTTCTGGAAAAATCCTCCTACTTCTACCATGTCGTGGGCGCCCCGCGAGCCTTTGTAGACGCTGACTACACGAGCAAAATGTTCATTCCGTTTGACAACGCTATTCCCAAGAGTGCAGCCAATTATGTGCGTGTCGTGCGTGGCGTGGCCATGCGCATATCAGTCGACCCGAACGAGGTGTCGTACCACGCAATTGACGGCAACGACAAGGAGACAGATGAGACGGAAAAACTGCAGTTCGACTACCTCGTGCTGGCTACCGGGAGCACCTACTCCGTGCCGGTCAAACCTGGCATCGATGACTTTGCTCGCCTGGCCGTGGAAGTCAAGCTGCAAGAAGTCCGTTTCCATATCGAGAAAGCAGAGAAGGTCGTAGTCGTGGGCGGAGGCGCCGTGGGCTGTGAAGTGGCAGCTGAAGTCAAGTCCAAGTGGCCGAACAAGTCCGTAACGATTGTGCATGCAAGCAAGAGACTCGTCTCCGGGAGCAATCTCAATGACAAGTTCTATGTCAAGCTGAACAGCTCGCTGCACAAACTCGGTGTGAAGGTGATTTTAGGAGAACGTTTGACAAAACGTCTTCATGGCAATGTGTTCGAAAAGTGTACGTTGCGTACCGATAAAGGCACGGAACTTGAAGCAGATGTCCAGCTTCTTTGTGGTGGATTTAGTCCTATTGTCACTTTGGTTCAAGAGCTTGATGCGTCCCTGATCACGCAACGTGGGGCAGTCAAAGTAAACAGTCAGTTGCAGGTGGAAGGTGAGAAATACGCGCATCTTTTTGCGCTAGGCGATATGTGCAGCCACCCGGCACCGAAGATGGCCTTTATCGCTGGGGAGCAGGGCAAGTTCCTAGCTGGTGAGCTGGCCGCAGTGATCCGCAAGAAGCAGCCAGGATTTACGAACCCGTTCAAGGTGCCAGCGGTTGCCGCAATGATCTTGCCATTAGGTCCATCAGGAGGTGTATCGCAACTGCCGGTGTGGGGTGGTGTCGTTGTCGGCGACTGGATCACATGGTTTCTTAAATCCAGAGACTACTTTGCCGGCCGCATCTGGGCTAGTGTAGGCGCGACAGTCTCAAACTAATGAAGCTAGAAGCTACCTACCAGGACAGGTAGCCTGAATATCCGAGACCAGTTCAATCTCCGCGACTTTTGATAAACGATATCTCGTGCTTGGCAGATCAGCTCTCCGCTCTGTGTGTAAGACAGCTTTCACTTCTTACCGAAATCTATGCTATCAGGCCCAAAGATACCGTGATTGTCGTACCTGCAATCTTACAAGGATGCACAAAATTTGCTACTTTTTCAGATTGATCGCGCGCTCTGGATAGTACAGACAAACTCAGCAGCTTGCTGAATTGCTTTAGCGACCACGTGGTGTCGTTTGAATACTATCCTGATCTTCACTTGCCTTCAGTTGTATCCGTGATGCCTACGACAACAACAAGCGGGCTTTGCGAACACGCAAAACGCTTTCATTAGTCTCCTGTTGACAACGTATCTGACGGTTGTCGCAAGCCTTTGGTACGATATACGTGTATGCAACCCAAACACTTCCCTTCGTATCTATATCATCTACAAGCCCGCGCATGGCTTGGTAATTTGCACGTGAATATGAAATAGCACCTTACATGTTGCATGATTTCAGTTGCAGAGAAAGGCACGGTCAGATCCTGCTACCAAAGATCTCAACTTCCGTTGAACAAATTTCGCTGATGGCTGATTGCAACCATCATCTTCGGTTTTACCGCGGTGTCAGCACTAAGAAAAGGACATATCCTGATACAAACTAACTTTCTTTGCGCTTGTGTGGTTGTATCTACATTTATCTGCTGAATATCGATGGCGTTCATACAACTGCACGGTCCTTCTCGATGTGGAAACCTAGAACTCGACGGGCATAAAAATCCTTCGTCTGCGCAATGTTTACTGAATTTGATAATGTTGTCATGAACATGTTCAATGCGGCCAATCTCAGTAACGCTAAATCGTACATAGTCGAAACATGTTGCAGTTAATACATGGTGCCCACTACATGCAAAATAGACACCAGATTGGCTTCATGTCGATATTCTCACAACCAATAATAGGCTCCAAAACTTTTTTGTCTGAGTAAACATCAATGGATCATTTTCGTTGAAGGTAGTATTCGGCACCGCTCTATGTATCGGTTGGTACAGGCCATTACATATCCAGCTCAACAATCATACGTGTCTAGCTATACCGCTGCTAGATGCGCGCAATCGATGGCAAGTGAGTAGCTGTATTTGGAGTTTGTAATCCGACATAGTCAAAGTAAGATCAAAAGGGGTTGTATTAGGAGACTGATCTTTATTAAATACAGTTCTACTTTTTCCTTCTCCTACACGAGTTCGCTCAGGAGATTAAGCCTTCATCTGCACGTACAGTGTACGTGAGAGTTCGATCCATCTACTACACTGTGTCAGTGTAGATAGTTTATACTGTGTTCAGTACAAGCGACAGATACCCCGTTTCACCCGGTAACACTCCGTGGTCCGTCTAACGACCACGGACGTTCCATCCAACATTAACATGTTGGATGTGATGAGGATAGCTAGTTTTAATGCATGGCTTGAGGACTTCTCCCATTCACATGATATAGACTCGGCGGCAGTCGAGCGGATGGCTTCGACCGTTGTCAGGCGTGCCATCAATGCCATGTTGTTCACTCTGAAAGGAGGCGATCAACATACAGCGATCGCCAAGTCCGTCTATCATGAGCTTGATGAGGCGAAGGATAAACCAATTTTTCTTCACCAGCAAGGTTCTCAACAGGCAGAGTTGTTGAGAGAACAGGGTGTTCAACAGTTCGTTTCCATGTTGAGATAGCAGCGAGACCAGGATGCTGATACCGGTCGACGCACGCAAGTCGTCCCGAAATCTTGAAGATATACATATCCAAGTAGATAAGAGTCAAGGGAGCATTCCTGTTACGATGTTTCGTCGAGTTGGACAACGCCAGGATAGCTCGTCGCATCATCGACTAAGGTTTGACGGTTGCATTCGCCGCGTCAAATTGACAGGACGTGCCAAAAATTGGGTCTTGAGGTCTATGCTTCACAACTCATATGCGTTTCGGTCGTCAGATGTTTTCGATAACCGGCTCAGATAGACTGTTAGGCAGCCGTAAGCCGATATCGGGCTCTATCCGAGATATTGAAAGTCATACAGTGTAAGCGTGAGATGCACACTTGCGATCAGCACGCTCACCGCCTCACGACCGACCCGATTCATGAACACATGTTGATTACGTTGTTCGTGCTCATGCAGGATCAAGCGAATGATCCCGTCAAGATATATCGATTATACCTTGGACTTAATACTCTAGACCAAGCGATAACCGTTGCCGAACAGAAGGAAGTCCGTATGAAAAGGCATCACGTTAAACCAAGTTTATATCGTATCCCAAGGAAACAGAGTGGAAGAGGTATATAATCGATGGACCTATACACGATGGAGAATGAGTTCTTGCTCTCTCCTGGACATAAACAACTGAAAAAGTGCAATTGATGTCAAAGTACTACAGATAAAAACGGTGTCAAAATTTCAGTGTTGCTTACGGCAGTGTGATGAAGTGCTCCCAGAGAACAATAGACTTAGAGGTTATCACAACGGACGGACAAGTGGCCACCCTTCGGGAAGGGGGTTCTCGAAGGGGAAGGGGTCACGAAAATAGTTTGGAGATTCGTGGGAGAAGGACCCGCAGGAATAATTAAATGGAAGACCGTTACTAAGGTACAGGCTAAGCGGTTTTGACGGAAGACGACCGCGGTCCCTCATTTGTAGACGCGATCCTACAAATCTAGCAATTCCTGAATCGTCACAAAAAGGAATCAGTTCACCTGGCAAGGATAGAAAAAGACGTTAAGGATAGGACTTAATCGAATACTACTTAAGTTGCGATCCATGTGACACGTCGCCGTCGTTCTTTATAGTAACGACTTGTAAAGTCTGCCCGTCTGTTCCAGGGATAAAAAACACCTTTGCCCTCCCCTTTAAACACAGTTCCGTGGCGAGACCAAATGCGAGTAGAACCTTAGGAAGTTTTCATCCTGTGGGTACGTCAAAACCTGTGTAGAAGCGCAAGGGAATAATGATGGAAAGTGTGGATTGCGCCTACCGCAATAAGTGCGGGATCGATTTGATTGGTGGAGTGCGTTCGGAGATAGGCCCATTGGCACGAATGATGGGATCAAACGACTGAGTGAAAGAAAACAACAGTGAAAATTATGCGGATTGGTCTGCCTAACGGCCAAGAAGGAGTATAGTCAAGGATCGACGACTTACCGATCACGATCCGCGATCAAGGGCTTGGATCACCAAGCTACAAGGACCGGATCGCTCAAGGGGTGAACATCAACTGGAGTACTGGATCGCTAACGACAATGGAAGATAGGTAAACATGGAAACGAGCTGGAGGAGTGGATCGTCAAGATCATCGAACATGCGAGGTCTCAGAAGTAACGGCGATTCGACGGTGGATGCCTGATCAGAGACTCGAGAGATTGATCACGATCCACCCTGGGTGTGTAATGCTTGATTGTGTCGACACATGAATGTGCGGACACATAATTGGTGTGTACCACATTCCGCGATCCACTACCCAAGCGATCCACCACGGAGCAATCCACCACCAAGAGATCCACTACGGAATATCTGCTGTGGATCACATGATGCACGAGGTGGATTACATCGACAGGCGATACGCAGTAGTGATCCAGCGAATAGATAGGCATATTCATATGTTCTGGATTTGGTTGGTTGACATTAAAAAGAATTGAGGTTGCAACGAAAGACACGCGTCAACTTCTACCGGGCAGGAAGTTTGGCCTCCCGTCGAGTTGGGAGTGGCCTGTGTCTATCCAAACGTCGCCTTTGGATTGTTTGGCCAGGCGGAACATCAGTTCTTACCTCCCCCCAACTGCGATCGAACGCAGGAAACTTAACGATTCGGATTCAAGATCGCAAGACGGCCCAAGTGGTCAGAAGGCTCGCGGATCGAGCATCACCTTTGGATACAGGCGACTATGGGAGAGCGTCCAAGTGTACTTGCGATCTAGTGAACAATTTACGCTCGATCCGCCCCACGTTTGACCGGGTGATGAGTTTCCACCCGATCAACCCCTATCCCTAAAACGATCAAGTTCAGCTTCAACTCAAGTCCACCAAGAAGAGCGCAACCCGCCCCGCCGACGGGTCACAAGGTGAGAAAGAAGACACAAAGTATGGAATCGGGGTACCCCCTCCGTTAGTCGGTCGTCCGGGCTCCATTGGGTAGTCGAGATTACAAGGAACTCGTGATCACCGCCCTACTACACAGCAATTTCTATGTTTCATTCTAGGAGCTTCCATACTACTGCGCTATATACCCCGCCTTTCCTCTGGATTCGGAACAATCCATCAAAACAGACTACCCAAAGACTTTAACCCTCCTCCACCGTTGGTGGTGGCATACTTATAGTATGTTTCGGCTGTTTGTGAGTGGCGGCCGCGATCAACATCTCGTCAACATCTTCGCGCGGGGTTATGCTGGGGGCGAGTGTGCCCAGGATTTTACCTCCTCCATTTTCACACTTCTTGATCTCTAGCTTTCAATTCGATAACAACGCCGCCCATCTTCCTAGCCTCCCACTCAGTTCTGAAGATATTATCAGCCAGGCCAACGTCGAACGACGCGTGAACATCTTGATTTCTCGTGAAACCAACATAGCATAGCCGATATAAAGGATGCGCGTCAGAGCTAAAAACCCTTTTCCACCATTCCAAAGTTGAACTCGTTGGGTTTTTGCGTTCGGCTTGCAAACGTTACGGTCCAGTATGTTCCATCGTGTTCTTGTAGCAAAGCTGCAGATACTGCCCATTTACTAGCATAGACCACAATCACTGGCGGACGATCCGAATCGAAGTGTTTAAAAATCGGAGTTTTAGCGATCTTATCCTTCAACATGGTGAACGAAATCATCGCCTTTTCCCATCGACTTCTGTCCGTTGAGATCAGGTCGCCCCTTGTAACACAAAAGACGCTGGGTCGCTCCCTGCTACACAGATATGATCTAAATTGCT